TCATGCCTCTTATTCTATGTTTAGAAATTCAAATTACTCATAACTCGCGCCTTTTCTATTTGTTTTTTCCACATGAAAGAATATTCTCAAGAAAATTCTCCTAATTTCATATCAAACTTTAAAAACATAATATTTCCAGCAGCACCATTTAAGTCAAAATTCATGACGTATGAGCCCATTGTTCAAAATTCAAATATTTGTAATGCTTGTTTACCTGTACTACAGGATCTCGCCCCTTTCCTTTTGGCAGCTCCTTCATCTTCTCCACATCCAGCTGATCCAACAAAAACCCACCATCACGCTATAACCAACGAAAAACAAAACAAAAGGAAACAAACTTTAACCCAAAAAAACCCTCACCAGAAGCACAGCGGCTCGAGGGAAGCAACGAAACACATGATCCCCGATGTTCTTCGCCACGCTCTTCAGCTCCAAGTCATTAGCCCTCTCATTCGCATGGTAATACCCCACCACACTCAAACCCTCCGCCCCAAAATGCTCCTCAACCTGCAATATTCAATTTAGAAACAAGAACACAAATGAGATTACAAGTTTTAATCTTTCATTGGCATTTAGAATCTTAACACCACATAGTAAGAGAATTGCATGATTTTTTTTTTCATGCAAACTACAGAGATGGAGACTCACAGCAAATTGGAGATCGAATTAGCATGATAAGCGCGCTACTACAACCTATAGAGTCTTTTCCGTTGCATCCTATTTTTAAATTGCAAGGTTAATCTTTTATAAATATAACTTATGACTATTGAACAGCAACAACGAAATCTTTATCCAAATTTTTTGAGTCCGCTACATGAATCCTATTTTCTCATTCAGTTCTATTATGGATCACCTCAAATGTAAAGTTAACTACTACTATATTCCTATTTTATACTCAATATAATATCCTACTAATGAACTCATTTCTTATCCATAGAATAAAATTAGAGGCATCAGATTAGCATAATTTGCAATATTTAAATTGCTAGGCGGAAATTATAACCCTAGGTATGAATTGCTCATAATCGATTCAATTTGATTTGCACAGCTTTTAAACCCTAGGCCCTAGAACCTAGCTTTTACCAAACCCTAGATCCGATTCGGCGAGATTTAGAGAGGGGGGGTACCAAGTGGAGGGCGAGTTCGAGGGAGGGGAGGAGGCCGAGGAGGGAGTGCGAGAGGGGGACGGCGTCAGAGATCTGGACGGTGGAGTCGTCGCCGGCGGAAAGGCGACCGACGAGTAGGCCGTTGCATGGCTGCTGCTGCTGCTGGTGATGATGATGAGATCCGTAGCTAATATCTCGCTCGATTCTTGGAGGTTTTATGATTTGGGAAGTTGGAGGTCGCGGGGATTTTGAGGGGGAGCCGGAGTGGAGGGCAGCGGGTTCAGTGGGGACTGCGGTTCGAGTTGCTATCCCCATACGGTTTGAAGCTGCGCGTGGCAAACGGGTCGGGTCGGGTTGCTTAAATGGGTTAAACGGGTTGTCAAATGGGTTTTACGGGTCATCTAGGGTCAACCCAAAATGACCCGTTTAATAAATAAGTAGCTCGGTTTGCAGATCTGACCCTATTTATCTTGACACATACATGTTTATAACTGGTCAGATAAAAAAATGTCACCCCTATGCATGGGGTCCATAATAGACAGAGAGACTTTGAGAGAACAAAATCTAGCTAACTCGTCAATTATCTATAATTTTTCCAAAATAGGTCCTAAATTTTCGAATTTTCGGAGCCGGATCTTAACAATTCTCTCGATCTTCTTTCCTAGAATGTCGACGTCAACTCTTAATGGGGCGGAGGTATTATTGTCATATTCTAATGTTTTTTCGAAGGAGGAATTCCCATGTACATGAATACATTAGTCATATGTTACTTCAATCAACGATTATGCCATGCCCTTGTCACAAACGAAAACGAGCACACTTTTTTAAATTTTCATAATTATGTTAAAAAGGAAAAATAAAAAGTGGAGGTTGATTTGCAAAAATTAAGATATATGGCTACTTTACAAAGGAGGTCTATAATTGGAGGCCAACAACTTACGAGCTCCAAAAATCAGTTTTTGGAGTTTCGATGGTACAGATTGTGATTAATCGTCTATCTATTGTAATCTAATATCTACCCTAACATATACACAAAACACACACTCTCATATATATATATACTAGTTTTTATGCACGTGCAATGCACGTGGTTAAATATTTAAAAATATTTTTTTTTCATCATTACTTTAAATAAGTGAGATTTATCTTGAGTTCAAATATGTATAATTGAATTATAAGATTTATTAGTATTTTATTTAAATATTAATAAAAATAAATGTAATATGAATTGTAGTTATAGTAATGAAAAAAATATTTTAAAAATTTAAGTTTATTCAAATATTTTTTGATTCAAAAAGCTAAGATCGTTGTTTGATTTACTGCAAACTTGTAAATTTTTTTTTTCTAAGAATTTTTAATTGATCACTACCACTAACACCCAATAGGAACTTAATTAAAGTATGAAAGTAAATTTTGATCAAATTTGGTCCCTTATTTAACATAGCAACAATCTCAACAAGTAATAATTAGTTAGTCAAGGGGTTTCTTTTGAAAACATTGAATATTGAAGTTTGTGACAACCCCAAGCAAAATCATCATAATAGTAATTATTTGCCAATTGGTTAAAGAGGTCACATTTATATCATAAATGATTGATCACAAGCTGCGCTAGCTATCAGTAAGAGTATTTTACATCTACCTGACAATATATCCATTCACAGGATCAATAAAAGCAGATTTTTATCGATTGTCTCTCACGAAATGCAGGATCATATCCATAGATAATAATAAAATATATTAAAATGGTTAAATATCAAAGTGTAATTTTATGTGATTTAAGCAATCACATAAGCATACAAAACTACTAATAACTTTGCATGAAAATACCTTATAAAAATTCCTAATTGTAATCAAAAATTAAGTTGTTATATAAAATGATTAAAAAATATTGTTCTTGAAAATTTATAATTGAACCAAGATCAATCTTTCTTCACCTTTATCTTTTTTCTAGGCAACTCTAGAGTAGCATCTTCATCACTTACGTCGATTGTAATATTAGCCTGGAGTTAAATTTCTTGTGTTATTATATTGCCTTCGCCTCGTTCATCTTTTATCTTTTCATCTAACTTCACCAGGAATTTGAAACTTTTGCCGATGTTCAAAACAAATTTTTGAAAATATGGACTCTGATTATTTTTCTGCTGCAATGAGAACAAATGTTATATTAATACTTATGAATTTGTTTATTTTCTAATTTACTACTTCAATAGAGTTAGGAATTACCTCTTTCTTTTCTGTAATGAATTTTTCTACTTTGCATCCAATAAGAGTTTCTGCTGCGTCAAAGAGTGTTACTCTTGCATTATCCGTGTCATTTTCCACGAGAATCTTAACTAAGTACCTGTATTTTTCATTGTTAATTTCTAAAGACAATTAGTATTGTATTATAATATGTTCATGACATTAAAAAATATATATTACTTAACCTTGGTACTGGGTCATCAATGATTCTGCGGTATTTGTCATTCAGACACTCTTAACTAACATTATTATCAACCTTCTTGTCACAGCCTTTGCAAGAATAGAACCATGGCTCGAGCCTATTTAAAATAGTAGTTATCTTTTCCTTAAATATGCAATACTGTGCATGTATATTAACAAAGTTTAGTTAGTTTTAAATTTGTAGATAAGAATATGTATATAATATTGTACCTGTATCGAATTTTGTGATGTTTGCATAATATCACTAATATGAATTTCTAGGGGTGGGCAAAAACCAAAAAAAACCGGTTCAACCGAAAAAACCGCTCGAAAAAACGGACCGGTTAACCGAACTGAATTAAATGGATGAGAAGAAGTCTCTAAACTACCCAAACCGAATTAAATCGGTTTGGATCCGGTTTGAACCCCTGAACCGCCCAAAAAAAACCGACCCGAATTCTGTTGGGCGGTTTAGAGACTAAACTTATACCTCAAAACTTTTGTTGTTATCATCCAATAGATTCAAACGGCATAAGGAGCAGTTTCAAGCAATGAGTACAGCAATATCACAAAAAAATATCCTTGAGAACTAAGTAAAGATTCAAATCAATTCAGAAAATTTGTTATGCATATGATGCACTTACAAAAGATGCATATGCTACATTATATGAACAATATCATACAAAACATCACTCCCCCCGTGTAATTAAATAAACTTAAACTTTAGTTAAAAAATTTCGCAGAAAAGATATTGAGAATTACATAAGATTCAAATCAATCAAAAAATGTGTTATGTACATGATACTTACAAGAGATAAGCATGCTGTATTATATGAACAACATCTTTAAAACATCAGTTCTCTGCGTAATTATATCAACCCAAAACTTTATTCTAAATATGATAACCAGTATAATAAAGCTTTGTTGGCGAGCTCAGGAACTTCATCATGAGGACAATGCCCAGCTTGCAAATTCACAACAGAAGTCTTTGGATAGAACTCTTTGCAAATTCAAAACCGAAACCGAACCGAACCGAACCGAATTTCGATTGGGCCGAATATTCGGATGAAGGGGGGAAAATCTGGATCTGGATGAGAGTTTTGAGAATCTGAAAAATTCAGATTGGATGCGGATTGGGCATAAAACCGAACCGAACCGAATATACCCAGCCCTATGAATTTCCTTGACATTTTTAAAAAGTGTTGATGGAGATCCTTTTGCTTTTGTAGCTTTTTCCAATTGAAACCTGCATATTAGATTAAAATATAATACCATTTCATTATTGGGTTATATGAAAGTTTGATTATTCTGCTTACCATTCCCTTAATTCGCTAGCTAGTTCTATTTTTGGGTTTATACATAATGTTAAAATAATTTGCGACGATATGCTTGTATCTCCTGCAAAAATGGGAAAATTATAGGATTAATTTTATGTTTAGCTATCTTTAATAAGAATTTTAGCAATAATTTATGTACCTTGATATATAGAGATTTTAAAATCTGATAATGCTATTACAGGCTTATATTTGATTTCTGCTTCAAGAATTGATCCTTCATTTGTAGCCAAATCTCCAAATAAAGTTGCACGCATTGGCATTCCACTGCATATGAAAAAAGAAAGAACGTTAATCTTTTTTTCTCTTATGATATTGGAAATAAGTAACATGTATATACCTTATATCCATAAGTGTGATTTCCCTCCTACTGTCTGGTTTGTTGTGTCTTGTAATATAGTTGATTGCCGGCTTCACATTAGTTGTTATTGCTAGAGTATCTGCAAGTGATTTGATAAAAGATTATGATTCTGTAGATTAATGCGTACATTACTGCTTGTATTTGTTACCCTGCAAATATTATTAACACCAGAGATCAATTTATGGAAAATATAAATAATTAATAATAATCTATATATTATATGTAAACAGGAAAATATCATAAAAAACCATTCTAATAGTTATCGGTGTTTTAATGTAATTTACCGAATAGAAAATGAGATTTAGCAATATTCATATGATCAGATGTAAAGATGGGAAAACAATATAATATTAAAAATAATTTTATTTTACCTTTGCGTCAGCAAGAATTAGCTTTAGTATTTTTCCTGGTCCTTTTGCATTTTTGTAAGTGGCCTCTGCACTTCGAAGTATGATAACATGAATGGTCCATTCTATGTGATAGGATAATAGTCATAATTAGAGTTTTATTAGGATTTGAATTATATTACAATGAAGGTAATCTAGATTCAGTTTCCCGTTCTCTATCTCTCTCTGCGATAATTTTTGGTCAGAAAATTGACTATAAATTCTCACACGCGCACGTGCATGTAAATCCGAGCTTTGGGGTTGCATGCAACGAAACCTTTTGCTTATCCCTTTGACCATATTACTTCTTTTATAAATAAAATATTGATGATGCGCAAGGATACACAAACACGCTCATTGGTCAAAGTTTTCAGTTATTGTCTTTTAAAAAACAATTTTCAAATGCGACTCGGCTGCGTGAGAATTGGAATTATTGTTTTGACAACAATCTTTTAATCGGTTATTTTGTTAGTTCCAAAATAAGAGCATCTTTTCCCATCATTAAAATTAAATTTGAAAAATAGAATTTGATTATAGATAAGGTAGTTCAAACTATAAATGGGTATATTTGTCTAAAAAAGATTTTCCGAACTCGTGCTTTTAAAAGGAGTATGATATATATATATATATATATGAGGAAACTGAGGAAGTGCTGTTAGCGCTCCCATCCCGTGGGCTGCAAGGGGTTATCTGAAAAAAATCCAGCCCCTTCACATCCCCAAAAGTCTCCAGAAAAATTTCACCGACTAACTTCGTCTTGACCCCAACTCCCTCTCTCTCTCTCTCCCTCGCTCATGA